CGCCCTCTTATACTCACCAATCCGAACGCAACAGATATGAATTCTAACACACCTTAAAATATAAATTTGGTCATTCAAATCGACCTGCCATATAATATCGTAGAATCGATGTGACAGTTCATTGGGCTTGATTCAGCTATTAAAATATTGTTGAAGCTATGTCATTGTCGTGTTCAAAAACGGATTATAAATAAGTGTAATAATATCATTATGAATTGAGTGATGGTCTGTAGTCCCTGGATTGCAGGATGAAAAGCAAAGGTGATAAGAGATCAGGATGTTGATGTATCTGATAAATGAATAGTTGAAGGAGTAAGTTGAATGAATGCAGATGTATGTGTATTAAACGCTCAGGTTTTATTGCCGATAATAGCACAGCTGTTGTTTTAGTTGATTTGATTTGATGTTGATTAAAATAAGTATATTTAATTTTATTGTTCATACATGTGTTGTTATTATAACACTTCATCAACACTTATGTGTGCAACCCCATTACCTTTGAGAACGCTCAAGAAATAGATGACTCGAAATACAACTCAAGTGGTCATTGCTTAAAAACAGTTATTGAATTTCAATGCTCGTCCAAAAAGGTGAAATGTAATACAAGAACGATGACAGGATTGAAATTTGTTTATATCTATTCAAAACTAACTGAATCGGCTGTTCTCATCTCTCGTTCCTCTGATGTATTCAGGCCTGATAAGATCATTTCTCCTGGCCTCGTATTCAGCAGCTGTCTTATCCAATATTTGTACCCATGTACCAGAACGACAAAACAGTGCACCTTCTCGATTTGGTCCATCATTCCTATGAACATTGACCTGTTTTGCTTAAGTCAACCTTGCAACAAGTCATAAACATCACATATTGTAACTGAATCCGAAAGAATACATCAGTTCAAATCATTTAACTATAACACTGTCAGAAGGACGTTTGAACTTTCCATTGTTCCATTCTTAGCAGAACTTGAAACAAGAAGAGGAAATGAAAAAAAAAAACTGACAACCAAACAGTGCACAGAGGTCAACATTACGAGGGCAGATTGTAATAATGCGATATCTATTTATTTGTATTCACTGAGTTCAGCTCACTTCTATAGTGAATGTTTCCATTTCTGTATCGAAAATTCAAAATAGAGCAACGTATTTGAGATAAATGGAAATTGTTGAGCAATATGAAAGCATCAAAATGCGTTTTGATATAGCAGATTCTCTAAAATAGAGGGAAATTCTGCTCTGTGAAGTAATTTTCCCGAACAATTGGGGAATCCAGGGTGATTGCTGATTCCAATACTACTATTCGGCTGATTCTCATATCAATGAAACAATGTTGGAAGAAATGAGTGACAAGGTTATATGCAACTATTTGGAAGCGAGTTGGAATGGGATGGAATGGATTTGCGTGAAGAATTGAAGGGTTACACGCAATAAGTTGACGAACTAACCTCGGTTCATGCCTCCTTCTGCGTAATTGTTGTGCTTGACGTGCACAATTGGCTAACAAATGTGAATTGGTAATGCTATAGGAGTAGGTATCAAATGGAGGACTAATCAAGTTCACTTGAAGAGCAGCGAGCGGCTGGAATGAGGATGCCGCACCCCCGCCGATTGTTGCAATACCACTCATTGCTGATGATGATGAGTAGTGATAATTACGGCGATAGTGATGATGATCACTTGATAAGAGATAGAAGTGAGTTGAGTACGAACTTCTTATTGAGTGGATTTGGTGGTGGGGTGGTGAGGGAAGTTGGATTATTGGACGAGAAATTGTTGATGGAATGATGAGACTGACTGTTAAGATTAGAAGTTGACGATTACTTATGGATGTTGATTTTTGGTGCTGCGATACTTGGACTGATTTAAGGAAATGGTGAATAATGAAGGTTGCTGATGTGGTGTGTTTCGGCGGTTGATATTGGTAGGTGAGCGTAGAAATTATGCTGAGCAGAAGAAGAGTGATAAGGATCGTGGTAATGATAGGAGGATTCGAAGTAGTGTTAGTGGTAAGAAGAGCAGTATGAATAGTTAATGTCGTATCGATCCTGGCAGTACCCTTGTTTGGGCAGGCCCTTGGGCCTGCACCAATTCGATTCAGCTGTTCGACTGGCTGTCGGTGATGCGGAATTAGTTTGAAGTGATTTATAAAGAGGAAGAGATATGAGATAACGGAAGAATAAACGATTGAGGATTGTTGTAACGTAGTGCAGAATTTGTGGCGAATAGTGCTCAAAAATTCAGAGCTGTTCCGACCTCTGCCCACTAGTATAATATTTGCTTAGCACGACCGTGAGTCACTCCTGAAAGATATGACATGCAACTAATTGCTATATCATGTATGTCTTTTATATCTTTTACAACACGAACGCACCAAACCAACATTACACGACAAAAGGTAAGAGATTCACGCACGAAATTCATGCAAAAGTACATTTCAATGTTGAATATTAATTCTTATACAAATATCAGCTCAAATCTGTAATGTGTGCATAACGTGTACAAATCATGACCGCAGAAGGTGCTGAGAATACCGTTTCAGCCATATTCAACACCCATACTCTTCGGCATTGTTAGAATCGATCTGCGCTTATCGAATTAGAATAAGCTTTCCTTAGCCTTAGGATTTCTATCAGAGTTTTTGATTCATTTGTGTAACGTATACGATATGGTGATACGCAACCCTTCGACAACAAATCAGACTGTGAACTGCAAACGAACAAATGAACAAAATAATCACTAACTAGAACAACAATAATATGACCATTACTCATTTCAACTTCAGTTTACATGTCTCGTTCACATGAAAATTAACTAATCGTAAGTAATCAGTCGGTTGAACAACATCCACCAAACAAATTGCTAACAACCTCAATTGAAGGTTTTCTCAACATATGCACAAATGACTTGTAACTGATCCGTGATATGATGGGATAATGAAGAGAATTTGAAACGATGATACCTTCGGAGAGTGTAACAGCAACAGCAACAAAACCACTATTGTCGACATGATGTATTCGATAATAATAAACAAGACTAATAATTATGATAATTGTTTCAAGAATAATGATCGTGCTAATTTAAATAATAATAAATAATAATGCTAATAACAACGACTCAAAATGTTTCAGCACGACGACATCATTCTACTACTGCTAATGTGGAAAGCCGAAGAAGACGTTGTATCCCGTAGGGGTGTGGTGATGAAATTGGCCGTTTTATTGGAAAATATGATAGAATGTTGTTGATGCGGTTAGGAAACTAAAAACGAAATTATTTTGCGCTCGCCGTATCAAAACAATCAGCACCCAACAGAGAGATTATCTTCACAGCAATCAGTATAGTGTTCATCGCGAAATTTTTCGCAGCAATTTTTCTCGATAACTTGGTTCCGCCCTGATAAATTATTCCCGAAGAAATATTAATTTGGTCACATAAAGATTGCCGCGCGTATAAAAAATTCATCGTGATTTGGATAATCTGATTACTGGTTTGACAGGTTGTCGCATACTGTGTGAATTTGAGCGCTTCTCATGTTAACATTCGACTGTCTACAAATGAAAAATGAAAAACAGTGGATACCAGACACAGGTATATATATATCTTGCAATGTTAGAACGTCATTTCATGACATTTTCATAGTGATTCGTTGATGTTTTCTGCAACAGATTAAAAACGGTGTTGATGTGTGCAAATTAAGAATCTTATGATAAATCAAGCATTGAGCAAACGTTGATAAAGATAAACAAAAATTGAAAATGAACGAAAGAACGAAAATTTGAACGTAGAATTTAAAAAAAATTGAGTATTTGAATGGAATCGATGTGGGCATTTGAACGAAAATTTAGGTATTTGAATCGATATGCAATGTGGAATAAAATCAGATAAAAAGAGAGGATGTGAAATACAATTAGTGTTGTTTTTAGTGAAAAGATAACAATCTAACTACATATCTGTTTATTTATCTATTCAACTATTTGCCTGTACTTCGCCTATCCTTCAACAACAAATCATACTGACTTACTGAACTCAACTCAGTTGATGCTCTTACAGCGTAAATTCACATCATCGAGCTGAGTCCTGCAGTTTGTTGTGTATCATTCAAACAGACGATCAAATCGTATCCTTCATCCCTATATTCATCTTAATATTAGGCTATCATATTCCATTATCTACTAAAAATTCCTTATGTATAAAAATTCGATTCAATCCATCGTTACAACTTCATCTAGACGATTTGAAAGTAAGGCTCAAGAAATTTCGACCATAGTTGGTTAGAATGCGACTCAGTGTATTGCACTGATCTGTTGTTTGATTGAGTTCATTCATGATTTATATAATCTAACGTAATATTATAATGTGCTTACGAGTGTAAGAAAGTAAATGTGAGTTAGCAGCCTAAAGAGAAGTGTAATTCGTTGAGTGGTGTCGGTAAGATGGATATTGAGGATGGTTATTTTGTACACAGGTATTAATTATGAATGAGTGAATAATGCAAAGAATAACGGTAAAAGAAAATGGTTGAATTTGTTGCGATACAGAAATGGAATTAGGAGTGAAAGCTAAGGAATGGTTTTGAGAAGAGGTCATAGATGAGATTGGAATTGATATGATAAGGAAGGGAAAGGTGCGATGATGTGATCGTAGTGATGTGATGAGGATAAGCAGTGTTTGAAGAGATGGAGGTTTTAGAGTTCGGCGGATGAGGATCACCCGATGAATAATAACGAATCATTCAATCGATTCAATTCCAATCGACTCATTTCACTCGTATACCTCCAATATCCCACAACATAAACACATGCATATACTATGAAATAAATCAAAGGCAAGTTTTTAATGGGACATTCGATGCCATCCTCATATTCGAACGTCCCACCAAGCAATTACCCTTTCTGAACAATCCACTCTATCCATCAATTACGAAAGTGATTTGATGGAATTAAGTACCTCATAAATGCAAACTTGTTAAGCATAACTAAAATCGATATTGCATAAACATAATTAATTCATGCCTATTCTACCAAATGCGATGTGCTGCAATAATGCAATCATCCTATAATAACGCGTTTCACGGACCAATGCTAATTTCGTTGTTGTTACCAGTTGCATAACTGAGTTTGAATAAGGCAGATGAAATGGATAGCGTATTGTTCGATAGCAAAGAAACAATATTGCTGATGGCTGTTAGCGATGAAATACGAGTTCAATATCAGCAAGGTGAGGGAGGATGTCAACTGTTTAAATGTTCACTCGACTACACGAAATGAAGAAGATGATCGTGTCTCGAGGCGTTACTCAACAACTGCTTCGTATTCCATTATTTCTTTTATTATTATTATCATTCACTACGACACTTGAAAGTAATATATTTTATTGATGCTCTATTAACGAATAGAACACATCCAGTAGTTTGTGTTGCCAAACCTTCAGGATGCTTAACGACACCTATCAGCAACTATTCGGTCTATGATTGCGCTATCTTTATGATCTCTTCATTTGCATCATATAGGTTATCAAACACTGCTTATAATCATAATAGTAATGACAGTATAGCTGTCAATGAAATTCGAGTTGATTTAGAAAGCAAAACTGAATCGAGTTGTTTCTGCCCCAGCTATCCAGCTGTATCAGCCGGATCATTAATCGATCGATCATTAATAATAAAACAGTTGTTCACTCGAGTGAATCAATTTTCAATTCAATTCCCGATTATAATCGAGCAATGATCCCACTTCGATTCAGTAACATCAAGTTACAGTTGCATTTTTTATAGCAGGTTGATATTTCAATTGCTGGAGCGTTTATTGCCTTCATTACTCAATCGCGTAGTCGAATCAAAGGGCTTTGAACTAGGAAGGATCTTTTGGTAAGCAACATTGCTTCCACAAGAAGGATTAATTTCTTAAAGAGGCAACTTTGCGGTTCTAATGGGAATCGAGCGGTGTGTCGTTCCAAACTATAAAATAATGTGTTAGAATGCTAATGCCATAAAGTACGAGCACATATGCAGTAAGAGTTTACGATAAAAAATGCAAGAGTCGAATAATGAGAAGAAGACATACGCGAATGATTGGATATGTACGCGTAGAGCGATGTGGATACAAGTACAAATTATGCAATCCTGAACATGCACTATCGCAATCAGATCAACGCATCCCTAGAATGCATCTGTTTCTAATCTTTGGATAATTCACATTCACGTAAATAAATACTCGATTCGTTTTGCATCGGTCAATCGATCAATTTAGTCTATTCAATTGAAAAAAAAAACGCTTGCATTCGTAACTTCGATTGAATATTCATTGACATCTTTCGAGTATCCAATTTTGAGAATGTCTTTTCACAATCAACATTCTTATAACATTGTAGTTCAGTTGGAAAACGAAAGCAATGCATTCGACTAATTGATATTATAATCAAATGCTCCTGAATGGAAGTATTATCGTATTTTGGTATATGATCAGCACAATAAGTATTCAAGACACAGTGCATATGTCCATCTGTTGATCGAGCAGTATTTGTTGTTATCACCCCTAATACTGGAATAGAATTATAAATATACAGAAGGATATAGGTATCTGAAAGGATCGCCAGGGTAAAAGTATGATCAGGTGAAATATCCTGATT